ATTCCTGATTTTCCATGGGAGTTCTAATGTCGACAGTTCCAACTTGACATCAGATGATCGGCAAGGCGATGAGCTGCCGGTCGGGTTCCTGAGTGTTGGGACCGGCTGTGTGGCCTACAGTAGTAGCTTAACCACCACCAAGTGGAGAAAAACCTCATGGCTAGGCTTTTGAGATTGGAAAGTGATGTTTGAGACTTGATGGAGGAGGGCTCCTCCAGAGACGGGTGTATCTTCCAGTGCGGTAGCAGTATTTAAGGTGTTTGTCTTTTCCCGTGCTTTACCATGCGGGACCGATACTAGTGCTTTTTAAGTGTGGTTTGCTTCGTCTGTGTGTCTTTGAATATAAACCTAAGTCGCCTAAATCAAGGCAAATTTCATTGCAACCGTGGCAATGGTGGAAAGAGCAATAAAGAGCAGTGACGTTGGCATGATCCACACCGATTGTATAAAGGAAAACCAACCAGCCAGAAGGCCTGCTCTCCAAAACACTTCGAAACACAAAGTTCCGTCAGGAACACTTGCTCAGACGCTTGAAATGCCAAACCTTGCACTCCAAAAGCAACAACCTCACAGCTACTGCATTAGCATGCACCTCGCTACACCACACATTTTCACACAGTTTCCCACCGGCCAATCGATCCACCTGGACGTTGGGAACCCTGGAGTCTGTAGTTCACCTACTACATGTTGAAACCCTCCCGGCGACATAGCACTTTGGAAAAAAAGAACATGCAATGTGTATCAATGTGTTATGTATATATACATATGATATATAAATATGTTTCAGTCTTATCAACACTAACACCTCAGTAGTGATTTACATCCCCAGAAAACATTTCCTCATTAAGTTGTGATCTTAACTAGGGTGAGGGGCGACATGTTCCACACTTCCTATTGTTGATGGGAATAGTTCTTGCCATCACCTCGAGGACCGTAGATACTGAGGGCAGGTATCAGAATTTCCTAGTGTTCTTTACAGTCTCTCCTATCAACTCTAGCCTTTCCGCTCACAGGACCAAGCGGCCAAAGCTGCAGCCTGGCCGGGCACTGAGACCATGATTCCTCGAAAATCCGTCAATCCCCCAAAAAAGCTCGAATCCTGTTGATTTCTTCATGATCAATTTAGCTCGATGTAGCCAGGTAGTACATATAAATGCTAGCTAGCTTGCTCAATATGCCCAGTGCTGGCATTGCCATGTGGTCGTGGTCATCATCGTCTTCATTGTCGTAGTATCGCTGCAGTTCATATAAATGCTACCTTCTGGTACAAGCTGCGAAGGCTTGACATTCAACCATTGTGGTCAAGCTCGCTTTGCAGACCCGTTAGCCGGGGATTTCAATAATCATGTGATAATCGGATAGCCGTACCCTTCAAAGCTTGCACAGCTTTATCATCCTTAGATTTTAGGAGGACCGATGAGTGATGCAACTTTGGAAGAGGAAATTTGTTTCCTATGGCGAGGCAGCACGCCTATCCACGTCTCACTGTGGATTGTGGTAAGAGAGGTAGTAAGTAGTAGTAGTAGTAGTAGTAGTAGTAGTAGTAGTAGTAG